TCTTCTGCGCCAGGGGGATGTGCGTACCGGCTCTGCTGTGTTTCTGCGAGCTCGCGGCCGCATCGTGTCAACGGTAGCGACAATGATGGTGGGAGCAACCAAGCATTGCGTCGACACATTTGCTGAAACAGCACCGCGCATTCTCCGTGAGCGAGTGTGTAAACTCGATTTCGGGCGATGGGATTCCCAGCTGCCGAGCCTCTCTACGCAGCTCACCATGTAATCGGCGGCTCCACTGTAGGAGGACCTGCGGGGGATGAGTCACTGGGGCGTGCTCCGTGCCCAAGAGCATGCTTCTCTGTTGCAACAGACAGAGCATCCGTGCACAGCCGCCCGAAGCAGGGACGATCGGAATGCAAGTAAACCGTCGCCGAAAGGCTGCGACATTCCAGAAAGGTGCTACCATCTCCTCCACTCGGTCCCGCAGCACCTTTTCGACAAGTCCCTGGCGAGGCATCATGAAACTGCTCTCGTGCAACGCGTTCCGCCTCCACGAGAGGGTCGCGTTATCGATGTAGCTGTGCCAGATTGCAATCGTGCGCGGAAAGCCGGCCGCCCTCATGGGACGGAAGCCGCAATGCGAAGCACTGCTCCATGGCATGCACTCCTCAGCTTCTTGTAGGAGCCTCGTGCCAAGCTTGCGCAAGGCGTCGAGCTGGCCCGCGGTCATACTGCCAAACAGCATCGCAGGACTTGCCGCGCTGCTGTCCACGATATCCCCAGTCTCAGGGTCTTCTGCCTCGTCAGCGCTGGCCAGCTGTGCGTCGACATCGTGGTCTGCTTCACAACCGTAGGCTCGAGGCATCCCAGCGCTCTCGGACCAGACTTTTTCATCATCGTGGCTGCTTAAGAGTTCCGTGCACCAGGATGGTAGTTGCTGGAGGACTGCCGGTGTGAGCTTGTCACGGAGGTGTTTGCAAAAACCTCGCCCGCCTGTAAGCACTGCGAAAGCACAAGCCGCCGTTAGCAGTCTGCCCGTAAATCGCAAGTCGGCTCCGTGGTCACCGAGTTCATAATTTAGGAGGCAAATGACGGCAGCGGACAGCCATCTCATTCTA